AAATGGGCATGCCATGAAGGCAGTGACCCGAAAGGACAGGCGAGCCGTGAAGGTGTGGGCCCTACAAATGGGCATGCCTTGAAGGCATTGACCTGAAAGTGGGCATGTCGTGAAGGTAGAGGCCTGATGAATGGGTATATTGTGGAGGCAGTGACCCGAAAGAATGGGCGTGCCATGAAGGCATAGGCCCGATGAATGGGTATGACGTGGAGGCATTGAACTGAAGGTGGGTGATCCTCACAATGGAGAATCACACAAGTGAAGTGAGTGTATGGAGGGACACTCACACGTGCAAATATAAACACATGCAGAGTATGGTGCAACATACGAGCAAGCAGACACATGCACATGCAAGACATGCACCTATGCAAGTGATCGGTTGACTGGGTCGGGGTTGCAGGGCATACCCAAGTGATCAGTTAACTTGGTCGGGGTGGTCGATCGAACTAAAGTGGTTGGTCGACCAGGCCGGGATAACTAATCCAGACTTTCTATATAAATGTAAAATGTGATATATGCGATTATATGCTTAATTTCTTTTATAGTTATTCTTAATTTGCAACAAAGTCAAAAATTTGATCCAAAGCAAAAGCTAGGTAAGTTTTCTACCATGAAACAAATAAGAATACAATTATAATATTTAAATATGGGATACTACGCAAGTATACATATCATCATCAAGTAATATAGAACTTTTTGATTAAGCCCCGAATATCGAACCTACGGGGAAATTAACAACATGCACTTTAGAAAACTAGAAAGTTTAGTTGGCAAAAATCTACTTCGCAAAATATTCTTACTTAAACTTAAGAGGCTATAATATGAATAAAAATTTGATTCTTTTTGTAATTTTTTATTTATGAAAATAAAATAAATAATTGATTAACTTAACTAAATATTTGCAAGATGAATGCTATATAAATAAAATATTTTTTTTCTTATCATGAATCTGTAATAAGTATAAAAATTTTATTGTGGAAGTATGTTAAATGTGTTGTGCCAAATATGAGCAATTATATTATTTACCCTTACTAGAGATGCTATAAATAACATTGGTTAATCTATAGCTTGAATAGTCTTGAAGAACGGTTAGGTAGAAAAAATATCAGCTCTCACTATAGAGTTCCCTCTTCTCCCTTCACATGGTGGCTAACATCTCATATCAAAACCTAAGATTATAAATCAAATTGGGGGTTTTAGTCTGCCACTCTAAAGTCTTCTAATTCTACACCTTTGAAACGTTTATTGCCCTATTTATTTGCACTCAACCCCATGAACTGCATTCTCATTCATGAAACCAATATGTGATTCTAATAATTTGTTGACTGAGACAATACCATCTCAGATCTTACATGTTCTCACAACATGTATTAATATCTTAATTGGTCAAATCAAGACGTAACTGAAGTGCAAGGTTTCAAATCATCACAACTTCTTCCAACATTGAAGTCTAATACTTCACACAATATCTTTTAAACACTTAATCTTTAAGAAAAAAGATAAAGAAAACTACTAAGAATCAATGAAGAAAACACAACCGCACATGAGTTTAAAAATAAAAATCATGCACACAAACAAGAAATATCGATTAAAACCAAATTTAGTTACAAAGATAAACACTTATCTCAAATCCTCTCCACCAAATGTCTTAAAGTTCCTTTGAATTCTCTTCCTTCACTCACAATACAAACTAACACTTAAAATAAAAAGAAAGTGGCCGACGGCGGCGGCGGCGATGGGCAATAGCGGCGATGGTTACTTGGATGGACAATGGTTGTAAAATCTAATAGGTGGCATACCTCTTTTCTTGGATAATCTAAGTCTTTTCTTATAAAAATCCAAGGGGTGCATTGGTTTCTCTTCAAAAAGGTGTCTCTATTCAATGAATCTTCTAGAATTTGATGATTCATTGAATTTAGACAAATTTTTGAAGAGGTGTTTGAAGCAACCCTTGGTAAAAAAGTGGGAAATATCTCATGGACACGAAATTCATTCAATTGGCTTTTGAGGAGGCAACTTCTAGAAGATTCATTGAATGGAGACACCTTTTTTAAGAGACACCAAGACACCCCTTGGATCTTTATAAGAAAAGACTTAGATTATCCAAGATAAGAGGACTGCCACCCATCAATTTGACCAATTAAGATGTTAATATTTGTTGTAAGAACATGTAAGATCTGAGATGGTATTGTCTTAGTCAACTAATGGTAAGAATCACATGAGATTATATGGATGAGAATGTAATTCATATGGTTGAGTCAAATAAATAGGGAAATAAACTTTAAAGGGTGAAGAGTTAGAGGGCTTTAGAGTGACAGGATAAAGACCCTAATTCGATTTATTGTTTTAGGTTTTGATATGAGATGTTAGCCACCAGGTGGAGGGAAAAAAGGAAACTCTAGAGTGAGAGCAGGTATCTTCCCTGCCTAACTGGTTTTCAAGACTATTCAAACTAAAGATTAGCCAGTGTTCTTTATAGCATCTCTAGTAAGGGTAAAAAATATAATTACTCCTATTTGGCACAACACATTTAGCATACTTCCACAACAAAATTTTTATATTTATTACTGATTCATGATAAGAAAAAAGATATTTTATTTATATATCGTTCATCATGCAAATATTTAGTTAAGTTAATCATTTTTTTACTTTAATTTCATAAATAAAAATTTATAAAAAGAATCGAATTTTCATTCCTATTATAGCCTCTTAAGTTTACGTAAGAATATTTTGCGAAGTAGATTTTTGTTATCTAAATTTTTTAGTTTTCTAAATTGCATATTGTTATTCTCCTTTGGGTTCGATATTCGGTGTTTAATCAAAAAATTCTATATTACTTGATAACGATACATATACTTGCGTAGTATCCCATATTTAAATATTATAATTATATTCTTATTTGTTTCATAGTGGAAAACCGACATAGATTTTTCTTTGGATCAAGTTTTTGACTTTGTTCCAAATTAATAATAACTATTAAGGGAATTAAACATATAATCGCATACATCACATCTTAGATCTTTACTAAAGAATCGGGATCAAGTTTTTGGCGTCGTTCCGGGAAGAAAAATTACAGAAATTTACAAAATTTTCAAAAAGTTTTTAGAAAGAAAAAATTTCTATTTTTTTAAAGTCTTATTTAAACTTTAAGATTTATTATAGGAATATTCTAGTGTTGCTTTTATATTAAGTTCTTACTTGTGTGTTTTTATTTTATTTTATTTTACTTTATTTTATATGTATTTTATAGTATTGTATGCATAGTTCAGGTTCCACAAGACTTGTGTCTTATGATTCTGAATTAGAAATAACTATTAGAAAATTTTTAAAAATTAAAAATTACTAAAATTTAAGGAAATAACAAATCAAAATATTGAAGAATTTAGACCTTTAAGAGATTATGCAAACTCTAAGGTAGATGAACTTTATTGTAACATTTTAGGATTTAATACCAAAGGAGGGAAATTGATGAACTTACTGTTGAAGGACAGAGCGACCTGAGAGTAAAAGTAGACCGACCAAATTTTGAGAGAGAATGAATTTGGATGACTTCATTGAATGGTTGCAGACTGTCAACTTAAGTTTTTAATACAAAAAGGTATTAGTTGACAGGAAAGTGAAACTTGCTACCACCACGTTGAAGAAGAGTGTCTGTTTCTAGTGGGAGAATCTGAAGATAAGGACATAAATAAAAGCACTAAATGGGAGAAGATGAAGGAGATGCAGAGTAATTATAAACCCCCTACACTACCAATGAAACATGTTCTTGAGATTACATCACATGCATCAAAAGGAAGTTATTAATGGAAGAATCCACAGTAGAATTTGAGTAGTTTGAATTGAAATACGAGTTAATAGAACCCGATGAGCACACGATAGTCAGATACTTCAGAGTCCTAAAGTTGTTTATTAGCAATGTTGTCTATCTATGACCTAATTGGTTGTTCAGGGGTGTTTATACCTTGGCACTAAAAGTGAAGAGACAACAAAATTAGAGCAGACACCCACCTTCATTAAGATAGTCACTCAAAGTTATAGGCATCAATAGGATCACACATAAAGAAATTGCTAAGACTGGTAAGAAGATTCACAGAGCTAATCAGAGCAGAAAGAAGCCTAAAAAGTGTGGCATGCTCAGTACAACTTCAATCATGAAATGCTTTAAGTTCCATGAATATTGACACATCACCTCTAGTTGCCTTATCAAAAGAGTTATTTCATTCATTAAATAGGGTGTAGTGGAGGAGGTGAGCAAGGAAGAGCTAGCTGAAGAGCATGGTGATGTGTATCAGCTTTTATTGGATGAGAGTGAGATCTTTGTAATTCGATGGGTCCTTCGGACTGAGGTTGCAAGGGAGCAATAATGGCTTCATCATAATATCATTCATACATATTGTAATTTGAAGGGTTGGTAAAGAGTGTAGCCTTATCAAAGATGGTGGGCAAGTTGAGTATCACTACTTAGAGATTTTCCCAACCATATTCCATGACGTGGTTGAAGAAAGGGAATAACAATAGCATTGATAGAATATGCCTTATGAAGTTTTTTAATTGAAGCCAGCTACATAATTATATGTGGTATGACATTGTGCTCATGGATGCCTATCACATTCTAATGGCGATATTGTGACAGTTTGATTGTAGAATAACATTATGGGTTAAAAAATACATACTCATTCACAATGGATGAAAAACACATAGTTTTCCTATCTTCTGTGGGGGTATGAGGTTATAGGTTCTCGTATAAGTAGAAATGTGCCTGTGGGATCAATTTTGGTGATGATAGAGGGCAACGAGTAGAAGAGTCGATATCAGACATAGGGTAGCCACTTCAGAGAGAGTTTCAGGATATTTTGACTAACATCTTTGTTGACCTCACTTTTGGTTGAGGTCTAG